GCTGTCATTTTGTCTTATTGACTGTGTCCTTTGCCTTACAGAAGCTTCTCAATTTCAGGAGGTCCCATTTATTAATTGTTGCTCTCAGTGTCTGTGCTACTGATGTTATATTTAGGAAGTGGTCTCCTGTGGTGATGCATTCTGGTCTCCTTCCTACTGTCTCCTCTATCAGGTTCAGTGTAACTGGATTTATGTTGATGTCTTTGATCCACTTAGAATTCAGTTTTGTGAATAGTGATAGATATGGATCTATTTGCAATAGATATGTCTACATTTTGACATCCAGTTATGCCAGCACCATTTGTTGAAGATGCTTTCTTTTTTCCATTGTACACTTTGGGCTTCCTTGTCAAAAATCACCTTCTTTGTTCATAGGTGTGTAGATTAATGTCAGGATCTTCAATTCAATTCCATTGGTCCACATGTCCATTCGTATGCTGGTACCAAGCTCATTTTATTGCTGTAGCTCTATAGTAGAGCTTTAAGTCAGGGATAGTGATGCCTCCAGAAGTTGCTTGATTACAAAGGATTGTTTTAGATATCCTAGATTTTCTGTTTTTCCATATGAAGTTGAGTATTGTTCTTTCAAGGTCTGTGAAGAATTGTGTTGGGATCTTGATGGGGATTGCATTGAATCTGTAGATTCCTTTTGGTAAGATTGCCATTTTTATTATGTTAGTTCTACCTATCCATGAGCGTGGGAGATCTTTCCATTTTCTGACATCATCCTCTTCAATTTCTTTTTTCAAGGACTTAAAATTTCTTGTCATACAGGTCTTTCACTTATTTGGTTAGAGTTACCCCAAGGTATTTTATAGTATTTGTGGCTATTGTAAAGGGTGATATTTCTCTGATTTTCTTCTTGGCCCATTTATCATTTGTATATAGGAGGGCTACTGATTTGTTTTTCCCCTAGGTCCCTGGCCTGTCTATTCTCACGCTCTTGACCATCCAAGCAACACTGAGTGTGGGTTCCATCTAATGGAGTGGGCCTTAACGCACATCAGACAATGGCTGGTGACTCCCACAATCTTTGTGTCACCATTGTTTCTGCATACCTTGCAAGCAGGTGATCCTTGTAAGTGGAAGGGTTTGTAGCTGGCTTGGTGTTTCCCATTCTCCTTTGGTAGCCTGCAGAGGACCTTCCTGTACCAAAGACACTAGAATGTAGGGGTGAAGGCCCTGTGCAGGCACCGGCTTGACTTCTCCATGTTCAATGAATTGTGTGCCGTTCTCTTCAGCAACAGAGTCTTGCTGTCAGTTTGTGGGGACCCACCAACAGCCTGGGTTGTTTGGGGCGGGGTGCCCACAGAACTCCTTTGGCCAAAAAACCAATTAGTTATAACCCAATCTTGATACTAGAAGCTTCATTTGGTGACAAGAAATGTCCACTTGAGACTCTGTCATTATTGGCAATTTCATTTAGATTGTCTTCATATATATTTTAGGATGTTTCTACCATATCAGGCTCCCATACTAATCCTCAAATGGCCCTCAATTTTAACTGTCTCTCCATGAATTCTCTCCCACATTCCCCTCTCCCTTACCCCTCCCCAGTTGATTCTCTGGTTTCAGAACTCCCCCCTCCAGCCATGAATAACTATTTCTTCTATATCCCTTTCCTAGGGAGTTCTACCTATCTATCCTACTCCCTTATTCTATTACTAATCTCTGATTCTACAGATTGTAGCTTGGTTACCATTGACTTAACAGCTAATATCCACATAAAAACAAATATGTACTATATTTGTCTTTCTGATCTGTGTTACCTCACTCAGGATGAGTTTTTTTTCTAGTTCCAACCATTTACCTATGAGTTTCATGATTTTTAACAGCTATGTAATATTCCATTATCTAAATGTATCATATTTTTTATACATTCATATGTTGAATGACATCTAGCCTATTTCCAATTTCTGGTTATTATGAACAAAGCAGTAATGAACATGTTTGAACAAGTGTCTCTGTGGTAGAATGAAGTATCATTTTGGTTTATGCCCATGAGTGGAATAGCTGGATCTTGAGGAAGACTGATTCCCATCTTTTTGATGAACTGACACTTTGATTTTCACAGTGGCTGTATAAGTTTCCACTCCCACCAGCAATGGATGTATGTTCCCCTTACTCCACATCCTCACCAGCAGCAGCTCTCACTTGTTTTATTGTTCTTGGTCAATCTAATTGAGATCACAAAGTAATTTTAGTATTCAAAGATTTTAAACATTATCTTGTAGAATAGCCTCATTTTATCCATAATAAAAACCAAATTCTGACAAAAAAGAAATTAGAATATAAAAATCTGCAAAACATGGAAAGGCCGAATCACTGTTGTCCTTTTTAAATTCAGAGTAATTTTCTCTATATAGCACAGCCACTGTCCATGACACTAACTAGAATTCAAACAAGAGAACTCCCAAAACTTAGTAAAACCTACATAAAATTAAATAATACCTACTTTTGATAGTTTTATTTTGGGGGAGAAGGGAACTATGTTAAGAGACTTTAAAAATGATTTTAAGCTACCTGGATGCCCTAGCTGATTATCTTAACTTCTCTGTTTCTAGAATAATGAATGCCTCTTTGGCAAACTGATACCTTCAGCCTGGTATAGCAGGGACAGCTGTTGCCCTATTTGAAGCCCAAGAAATCAGCACTGTGAGCCAGTTCCTGCAAGACGGAAGACTTCTGGCAAAAATGGCAATGTTCTCTCACAAAAATAGCGAGCCATCATCTGTATGGAGTGGGAAAGGCTAAGGACTGTTGCCAACATGAGATTTTATAGTGCTGATGGGAAGTCAATACTAGATGGGACAGAAATCTCAATAAAAGATACTTTGGATTTAAGGAAGATGTAGAACATGCTGGGTTCTAAATATTTAAAACAATTGCTTAGGCAAGCTGTGACACTTTCCTCAAAAACATCCAAACATTTTTTTGTTAAATATACAACTGCAAAATGTTGTATGCTAAAATAAAATCATATTTTAAAACAAGGCTATGTGACTATGTACATTCTTTTAGAGGTAGCTGCAGGACATTTTTTCACCAAGAATTAGAATTGAAGAGGAAGGAAAGCTAGACAGGAATGGTGAGATTAAAGATAGGTCACATTTATTTTCAACAATATAATACAGTGATTATAAAGCCCCACTGATCTGGAGCTTAAAAATACATTACATATTCTTCTGGAGAAAAAAACTGGGCTGCAAACTTAAATAAGTAAGGAGGGAAATATGATTATCAGTTTTAAAAGTTGATGTCATAACTAAGAAAAAGAACTTCAAAGAATATTATTCTAATAAAATCCCACAACACAACACTCTATGAAACAAACAAACAAGCCAAAAACTTTGAAATATGCCCAAATTTCTTCATGCAATTTTGTGTATCAGTCAGGTTAAGTATAAAAATGAGAGTATCACTATATTTTTTATTACAACTCGGGAATTCTGGGAGGTTTTCACTTCCTATGTATTCGGCAAAGGAAATAAGATTCCCCCAACTGAGGAATCAAGTGATATTAAACTTCAATAAAGCAAAGCAGAGATGTACAAATTCACCCAACAGAGAAAATATGATTCCCAAGTCAACAAGGCCAGACTGCCATATTTGAATAAACAAACATATCGGAAAAAGAAAATATCAGCTAATAGAGAGTCAGTCTACAAGAAAAGCATACAAAAGGAGATTCGTAGTGGCAAACATTGGCAGTGCCTGCTCAAGCACTGTCCAACAGAAAGGAAGGTTTTGGATGTCAGTCTATCCTCTCCAGATGGAATAGAAAGCCATCTCTTCCATGGGGATGAATGTGAGGAATGAAAGGATCTGGCAGCAATACTGGTCCATCACCACTTAGAGCCCATATCCTAAAATGGATGCAACTAGATTCTTATCTCAATATATTTAAATTTCAGTTTCTATTCTCTGCTTTGTCATCTCATCACATAGCCTTTGAATGCATATTAAATATCCATAGGGATAGAATAGATGACATACTGAGTCAAGTCTCCTTATAAGTAACAATTTTTTTTCCAATCTACCCTTGTTATTTTAATGGATCTGAATTCCCTATAATGGTGAGAACTGTGGGAAAACAGTGTCTATGGTGCAGTGCTGTGGAAGCCAGTGATGGTTTGATCTGCTCAGAATTGTGCTGGTAGATGTACTCAACCTTCATGATAATTTATTGCTCAAGAAGCTATCGGCATTCTCTATCATCCAATACAGACTAAACTCAGAGTGTTAAGAGACATTTATAATCATCTAGTGTGACTTGGTCTCTCTGTGAAGAAAGAAACAGATCCAAACGACATACTTCTGATGAGTCTTAATCAAACTTAGATTTGTCTAGGGCTCTTTCACAAACGAGTGTAGATGTTTTCAAAGTACATGCCCTGGAGAAGGCATTCACAAAACACTGTTTTACAGACATATATAAATAAGTCAAGGTTTTCACAGAGCTACAGAAAAATTGTGAACTAGGCTATTTGAAACCCCAGTGGACCCTCTCTCAGTCCCCAAAGACTTGTTCATTATCCTGAGCTATCTTTCCTAAAGCTAATTAAATGCTTCCCGAGAAGCCTAGAATAAGACCAAAAGTGGTCCTGTTGAGCCATATAAATAGGAACCTCAGTGTAATGTCCTGAGTAAGAGCTGCTCTAGAGGCTGACTTCCTTGCCGAGCTGTCTGTACAGTGTCTACAGAACAAGGACAAAAGCAATAAGCAAATCAGTGTCCTGCCTAGGTCCAATGCTTGGGTTATATGGGAAAATTTTACAGCAGAGCCTTCACAGGGAGGGGATACGCTGGCATTCCAGAGGGCAGATGGCACATCGAGATTAACTTGGCTCCAGTTAGCGACTCAGTGACTCCAATGACCAGGACAGATTCTAGTCCTGCTGTGGGAAATGTCAAATTCACTTGCGAGGTCTGTGACAAAGACAGACACTTAAGCACCTTTGGAAGCCCAGATGAACCCAGGACCAAGGTAAGTGTTGGTCAGACAGGGTGATCAGTTTCTTGGAAGCTCCTCATACTCAGCTGCAGAAGTTAAGGATCTTCTAAAGACAGTGAAGGGATTCATCTTGTAGGTTACTACATCTACTTTTTAATGCTAAGACTGCTCCCCAAAGAAAGAGGATTTTAAAACTACATCCTTGTAATTGCTCATGACTTTTCTTGTGGCTCCGCTGACCCAGACCTGATTAGCGAATCACATTTGGGTTTTATGAGTCCTACATCAGCTGACAGTGGCTAGCTGGAGGCTGGCAGTCACAGTGGTGACATTTTTCATGTTACCTAGCTGCTGAATAGAGTGTTAGAAGTTACTGCCACCCAGGACTTTGATCATCTAGAAGGTTTCCTTGAGCCTTTTTATTTCTTTCTGTGGCACTGATCTGGGTTCCAAGAAAGCTAGCAGAAGCACTGAAGCCTTTTTTTTTTTTTTTTTTTTTTTTTTGAAAAAAGGTTTCTCTGTGTAGCTTTGGTGGCTGTCCTGGATTTCGATCTGTAGACCAGGCTGGCCTCGAACTTACATTGATGTGCCTGCCTCTGGCTCCCGAGCGCTGGCCACCGCCTGGCTTCACTGAAGATTTTTTGAGAGCCACAATCAACACAGGCATAGTGGGGCCTCTCCATCATTCTACTGCCCAAAGCCACAAGCGTGGTTCTGATTTAAGCAACGGAAATGAATTTCACTCCAGGCTAGCAAGGGAGCAAAACCGAACTGAGGAGGGCGTGGTCTCCAGAAGAGTACAGGACTGTGCAACCATTTGACAGTCTGCTACATGCCGACCCACAGACTCACTTGTTCAAAGGAAGGACGTGGAGTCTAGAGGACTACTAAGTGGGGCCAGGGGGCATAAAGAGCTTCTCCGCTGTCAGCTATGAAATGTCCTTTCTTTTTGAATGCTGGTCTCGGCTGTTGGTAAGGGATAGGGATGCTGCTGTGAAAACTTTCCTTAGGATCTGAGTAACCAGTAACCAGCTCAGACGTCTAGTCCTTGCAGGTGCTTTTCAATCGCAGTGTCTAACATGCAGTTTCTTCCTCTGTACACTGGAGAAGCTTAGTACCTACCTCACGAGGTTCCCATGAGTAGAGAGTTTAAAACAGAACAGGAACTTGAAACTGAATCACCAGTTTTCAGTTGCTTCTGTTGATTTAAAGTTATTTATTATTTGCCCTTGTGCATCTCAGTGGCACAGATGATTGAAGACAATGCAACCCCGGGAGGTCCAGGGAACCAGTTTTGTGATAGACCTGCCATTGCGGTATTCTCTCTCTCTCTCTCTCTCTCTCTCTCTCTCTGTGTGTGTGTGTGTGTGTGTGTGTGTGTTCCCTCCTCAGAATGAAGAATGATCAATCTATCAATTTACTACTGCTTCTCTTTTGTCCCTCTAATCCTCCTCCTCTTCCTCTTCCTCCTCCTCCTCTTCTTCCTCCTCCTCTTCTTCCTCCTCCTCTTCCTCCTCCTCCTCTTCCTCCTCCTCACCCCCTGAGATCCTTACCTGTGTAGCTTTCTAGCACCATTCTTGGTCGTGTCCCAGTGAACATCTAAAATGACAGAATTAGGCTCCCGAAGGTTGGCTCAGGATAAAGAAGAAGAAGCGTTTGCAGCACCAGGTGAGGAAGCACGCGGTTCAGGAAGAGCCTCCTGGACAGCCTTCCTCAGCCCTTGATAACTTTGCCTGACTTAGCTCTCCATGTGCAGAAAATAACGCTTTGTGCCTGTGTTCTCTTCAGTAACAATTTACAAATAAAATTAACCAATATTTTCCTCCTCTATGAAGAACATGCTTTTCCCTAAAGAATATCTTTTAATATTTGTTTTCTTTGTACTACGAAAACAAGCCAACAAAAAACCCTCTTCCATATGGTAAATTAGGGGGAAAAAACACTATATCTTAGAATTTTTAAAAACAGTTTCTACTCTCATTTACATGTGGAATTTTAAAGGTCCAAGTCAGATTAGGTGGAGTTCAGGAATCCTGTGGAGCAGGAGGAGAAAGGAGTGGAGGAGCCAGAAGGATCAAGGACACCATGGGAAAGTTCACACCATCAACTAACCTGATCTCATAGGGGCTCACAGAGACTGAACCAACAACCAGGGGGCCTGCATAAGACTGACCTAGGCACTCTGCATATATGTTACAGCTGTGCAGCTTGGTCCTCTTATGGGAATCCAAGCAGTGGGAACAGGGGCTATGTCCAACTCTTTTACTGGCTTTTGTGACCCTACTCCTCATACTGGGTTGCCCCAGCCTTAATACATGGGAAGGTGCTCAGTCTTACTGAAACTTTATGTGCCATGTTTTATTGATATTCATGGGAAACCTGTCCTCTCCTGGATGGAAATGCAAGAGGAGGGAATAGAAAATAGAGGAGAGGGCCTGGGAGGGGAGGATGATGGAGGAAACTGCAGCTGGGATGTCAAATAAATAGATTAATAAAAATAATAATAATAATGAGGAGGAGGGGGAGGAGGAGGAGGAGAAGAAGAAGAAGGAGAAGAAGAAGAAGAAGAAGAAGAAGAAGGAGAAGAAGAAGAAGAAGAAGAAGAAGAAGAAGAAGAAGAAGAAGAAGAAGAAGAAGAAGAAGAAGAAGAAGAAGAAGAAGAAGAAGTCCAAGTCATAGATGCAGAGAGTGCATCTATGGATTTGGAGTTGAGGGAAAGGTAAAAGGGGGGTGTATTAAATAAGGTTCTCTAGAAGAACAGATTAGAATGAAGGGATTGATATATGGGATTTTTGTGACTGATGAGATGGTTCTGCAGAAAATTGGACTTGCTGCCAAGCCTGACATCCTGAGTTCAGTCCCTGGGAAAACATGATGGAGGAACTAATTCCTGTAAGTTGTCCTCTGACCTGCTTCACATGTGCATTTGGAATTGTGACATTTGCAAACCTCTCTCCTCACATACATACAATAAATGAAAATGCAATCAACATTGTAAAACACTTTATTCGATTTTCTTACATAGCAGGAGTTGATACT